CAGGCGGGTCTCGAACCCGCGGGCTCAGGCAATTCGCTCACCTCAGCCTCCCAAAGGCACAGGATTACAGGCTGAGCCACCGAGCCCGGCTTTTAGTCATATTTTTAATCTCACTTTCATATTAGAAAATAAATTATACCAAGAATGCCACATTTTAGTGGGAAATACTTTAGTGAGACAAGAAACTTTCTTGGGGAAGATGGATTGGACATCCCTCAGAGTGATGGTATTCTTTTAAAGAAGAAAAATCCAACTGTTTGTGTTCTAGACCAAACATTCCCCAGTGACTTTCCCAAACTTAATCTATCAACAAAGCCAGGCCCTAAAAGATCCAGAACCTTGGTGGACAACAGAGATGAGAGGAAGGGAATTTGAAACACTTCTACATGTTCCTCATTGGATTTGAAATACTTTTGTCCCTTTAGTAATTTCCTGGAGAGATGCTGGATATCAACTTTATTTATTTTTTTAATTGGAGTCTCACTCTGTCAGCTAGGCTGGAGTGCAGTGGCATGCTCACTGCTTATACAGCCTTGACCTGCTGGGCTCAGGCAATCCTTCTGCTTTAGCCTTCCAAGTAGCTCAAACTACAGGCATGCGCCACCAGGCCCAGCTAATTTTTTTTTTTTTTTAATTGTAGAGACAAGGTCTTGCCAAGTTGACCAAGCTGGTCTCAAACCCCTGGGGTCAGGCAATCCTCTTGTCTCCGCCTACCAGAGTGTGCTGGGATTACAGGCGTGAGCCACTGTGTCTGGTCTCTGTTTAAAGGACCCAAAATTGCTCTGTTTAATTTCTTTCTTTCTGTGTGTGTGTGTGTGTGTGTGTATGTGTGTGTGTGTGTGTGTGTGTATGTGTGTATGTGTGTTTGTGTTTGTCAGAGTCTTACTCTGTCACCCAGGCTGGAATGCAGTGGCACGCTCCTGGCCACCACAGCCTCGTCCTGCTGGGCTCAGGACTATGGGTATGCGTCACCACACCCGGCTAATTTTTAAATTTATTTTAGAGATGAGGTCTTGCCAAGTTGCCCAGGCTGGTCTAACACCTGTGGGCTCAGGCAATCCTCTCGCCTCTGCCTCCCAAGTGCTGGAATTATAGGCGTGAGCCACTGTGCCTGGCCCAGGAAAATATCTTTTAACAGTAAAAAATGTTAATTTAAGCCGGGCTCGGTGGCTCAGCCTGTAATCCCGCGCCTTTGGGAGGCTGAGGT